AAAAAAAAAAAAATCAAAAATTTTAAAATTAATGAGTGGTAACTGAAGTAATCCGTTCATGCTTACTAAACTATTTTATTGTTTACCCAAAATTATGCCATCTCTCTTTCTTTTCTTTTCTTTTTTTTTTTTATTTTTTTATTTTTTTTGGTATGAGAGAAAATCATACCATCTTCGTTCAACATTAGTTGTTCCACGCAGACTGCGTTTGGTTGTAGTTGTTGTTTTTCGATATTGTGTTATCATAAAAGTATATTGTGATTGATAAATTACTTTTCAAAAATTTTGTATAATTATAAAATTAGTAAATTATACAAAATATTAATTTAAAATCAAAATAATTAATATTTTAATACTACAAGAAAAATAAAAAATGTGTATTAGTCTCAACTTTCATAAAAAAAATTGGAGTCTTGATTTTTTAAACATTACTTTCCAACAAATATTTTAAAAAATAAACCATTAAATTTAATGTTATATTGATATAAATTATATATTAATTTTTAAGTTAATCTAAAATCTGTAATTATTCGATCAAAAAACTTATATTTTTTAATACATTTCATGTCTCATAATAATAGACATTTTTTTAATGTTACATTCATATTAAAGATTTAGGAATATTTTTTATTTTTACTTATTTTATCTTTAAAAAAAATAAAAATAAAGAAATATTTTATCAAATGATAGATAGTTAAAGTTAAGAGATAATTATAAGGTTAAAGTATGAAAAAAAAAATATTTATCTCCCTTAAAATATAAAAAAATTACTATTATTATAAAATAAATTTTAAATAAAAAACCTCTATTATTATGAGACAGATATGATATACATTTAACTATTAAATAATGACATTAAATATTACTATTTTAATTTAGTTTATCTAACATGTGACTTAAGGTTGCATTTATTATATTTTTTATAATTAATTTGTATAAAAAGCTATAAATGTTGAATTTAATTTATTCAATTATTCAATTAAAACTATTTATATGATAATGGTATTAAAATAAAGGTTAACTTTAATATTTTTTATGTAACTTAATTACAAAATGATATAATATTTGTTGCACTTTTAACATGTGCCTTTAAACCAACTTATTTTAATTTTATTCCTATTGAAATTCACTGTCAACCTTAATATTAGTATATTTAGTTTGTGGAAAATGAAAAAGAGGGGAGGCCATACATTTTTTGATCAATCAAATTTTAATATTAAAAAATATTACAATTTGATTAACCAAAAAAACCCATCCCTCGCCTCTTCTCCATCAAGTTAATCATATAATAAATATTGGAAGGCTTTTATATTATTAAGGGTAATTACAGGATTTCAAGTGCTAACAATCCTTTTTTTTCTAATTTTCTTTATAATTGTGCAAGAGAAAAGTTTGACCACTAAATTTCAACCATACAAATACTAGATCAATTTAAGATTAGTTTATTTAATTTATACATTTAGAATACAGGTAAATCATATTAATTGTACTTTTTTACAATGAATTTATATAAAAAATATAAAAATTGATTTTAAATTTATTAATTATCTAATTAAAATCATTTAAGTAACTTTGATTATAAAAAAATATTTAATTTTATATTTTTTTATAAAAATTTATTATAAAAAATGTAATTAATATGGATTTAACTTGTTCTTTAAAGATTTAAGTTAGAAAAACCTTTTAAAATTTGCCATAATATATATATATATTGTTATATGAATACAACAAACAATCCATCAAGTAACTTTCCCAAGGAAAAATAACTACGAAATCCACCTCTCATATAGGGGTTCAAGGACATATTTGTCCTTAAAAAAAGATCAAAATAAATTGTTCTTCTAGATCATTGATCAAAATAAATGATCTATTATTTAACTATTAGTGTCATCATACCTCAACTTTAAATTAAAACTAATATTAATATTAAGTGACAAATAAATTCTTAACATGCAATGACATCAATTTTTAAATAATAAATTATTTATTTTAATTAATAATTTTAGAAGACAATTTATTCCTACTTTTTTTAGAGACAAATACGTTCCTAAACTTCTCTTTGTAAGACTGATTTGGGGTTTCACCTTATTCTTACACATGTATAAATTTATATTAGACTCATTATTAATATTAAAAAAAACCCGAGACGATTAAAAGACAAATAAATCCACACAATAGCACCCAGAAACGGAAAAAAGAAATATGTTTACATCTTTGAAAAATGGATACATCACATATCACAATTTAACGAGATATTAATGCAAAAAATGGTGGAAAAGCTAATTAACAACTGAAAGCACAATTATAGTTAGGGAATGGAAGCTTCCATATATTATTGGAAGGTTAGTGCTTCAAATATCTTGAGACAACATAAATTTAAACTACCATCGCAGCTCAGCTGTTCAGGGGATATATTATTACTATTTTTTTAATAAGATAAATGCATTACAATTATATATTTAAGGTACAAGAGATTAATATTAAAATTAAATTCAAAATTAAAATTAAAGTGTCTCGTCACTTAACTCTTATTACTAGACCACTCTTATTACTGGTCCACGAACGGAATTTGCCTCAAGGGGATATATTAAAACTATCTGAGAGACGCAAAATCTCAACAGTACGAATAACACTAACCTTAAACAGGGTGAAATTTTCGGATTTGGAGACCGATTAGGAGGCTCCGAAGTTTATCGCCCGCCTAGGGAACACCTTTCTCGGGACAATACATGATTCACCAACTTAAGTTGCAACGTCTTGCTGAATCTCCTCCTCCTCTTTCTCTGGAAGTTTCACCAGAATTAGAGAGAACCAATTGTTGATCGACTTTCGAGAAACGACCTTTCCCACAAAACTCGACTCTCTCAGATCAATGAACCAATTGAAAGTGTTATACATTTCCATAATTATTATATAAAAAATTAATTAAAATTAATTTATAACAAAGTAATTGTCAACATCTAACTGACCAATAAGTTAGAAAAGTAAAAGTACGTACAATTATATCTTGTTGTGCAATACAAAATTAATAAAATAAAAAATTATAACAAACTAATTTTATTAATTTTGTGTTATTTTAAAAATTATTATATTAAAAATTTTAACTTATGTCTTAATAAAGTTTCTAGTCATTAAGTCATATAAAAAAATTAATATTAATTCTAATGTTAATTTTATATGTATTAATTTAATAATTATTTAATTATTAAAATTAAAGTTAAATTTTATTTTTTTATATAATTTAGGACATTAATACATACACTATATAAAAGTTACACATTTCATTACACACTGATGGTTTTCATTAGTGTCGTTAAAATTAATAAAAACTATTAGTTTTAACGGTAAAAATAATGAAAACCGTCAATGTGTAACGAAGTGTATAATTTTGAAGGGTGTATGTATCATTTCCTTATAATTTAATAATTAAATAATATATTAAATATACTATTAACTTAAAATCTAAAGTCACCATTTATAAAAATCCTTATCTTAAAATCATCCCGGAATGAAGAAAAACGAACTCAAGAGGAGTTGAGAAATGGCCACCGAAAGCCTCTCAACTCAATTGCATACTACTTCATTCCCCTCTTTACAGGAGGTCAACCTTTTTGCTCGTACTATGAAGAAAATCAAGAGCAATAGCTTCTCACCGCCCAATGGTGAATGCCCTGAAATCAACATGACGAAATCACAAGGGCCGGCTAAAATGGCGACTCAAATTGAAGAAGAATCTCCAACCCGTGTAGAACTTGACATTCTTGATACCCCTCCCTCATTATCCTTTGCAAATCTCCTTCATAAGGAAGATAATGACCCTATTGTCATCGAATTCTCTGCACAACCAAATTATCTTGATGAAGATTCCGATATTGAGGAGGCCAGTGAAGAAAACATACTTGCGATCCTTCTCCCCAAGGCCGATAAGAAAAGAATCTAGCTTCCTTGGGTTAACTCTATTATTATCAAGGTTGCTTTTGCTGACTAGGTTGGCTATTCCTTCATTTACCCACGAATCAAAGCACAATGGAAACCTAAAGGTAAGTGGGAATGTATTGATTTGGGATGTGACTTCTTTCTTGTTCATTTTTAGGATGAGGACGATATGCACAAAGTTGTTTTTGGAGGTCCTTGGTTTGTTGGCCTCTACTATTTAACTATTAGATGGTGGTAACCAAATTTCGACCCAAAACAAGCCACCTTCTCAACTATTGTTATTTGGACTAGACTCCCTGAACTTCGTACGGAGTTTTATAACCCAGTAACTCCGATCTATATTGGAAACAAAATCGGTAATATATTAGGGGTTGATGTGCACACCATCATCATACTAGGGGCCAATATGCTCGTATTTGCATTCAAGTGGATCTCAACAAGCCCCTGATTACCGATGTTAAAATTGGGAAACACATGTAAAGGGTATTTTATGAGGGTAGCTAAGCACTCTACTTTAAATGTGGCAAAATTGGTCATAAGGACGATCAATGCCTAAACAACTTAGTTATTTCTAAGTAACTGAATGTAGGTCAAAATTTATTGATGCTGATAAACTCCAATAGTAATGACCTACCAAGAGGCTCTGTTTCGGCCACTAATACATCACCTTCAACCTCCACTGCAATTCAACAACTTGAGGACCAACCTTACGACCCATGGATTATTGTTGAAAGGAGAAAAAAGAAACTAGTGCCGAAAGTGAAAAATACTAGTTCTCAAGCTGGCAAGAAACAAAAGGACTCACCATTGACAACGTTGCAACCAATGATAGGGAAGACGACGAGTAATATTGTTTCAACCAATGGTCCAAACTGATGAACCAAGATAAAGGGTAATGATGGGCCGTTGTCTGATTAGTAGTCTACCTCTAACAGACAATAATCAATCACATTAAATGCCTCTATGCACATTTTACTCAACCAATGGCTCTTGTTATGGGTTCCAAGTTTCAAACCAAAATTGGATCTGCTAATAGTGTTGAACCTAATCCTAAGCCAAGTCTCAAAGGCTAGATTCATAAGCCTATCCATCCAACACCAAATCCTATTGCCTTAATGGGTTAATTGCCCAAGGTCAGCCCGCTTATTTTAAGCCTAACAGTACATCTACTAAGTCCCAAATGGCCCAGAATCAAGGTCCACAACCCCACTTGGACCTTGACCCAACCTCAACTCTTTTAGCCTCTATCCTTTCTATCTCACAAGTTAACTCTAACCCCATCCTTCCCAATTCCCCAAAGATCACCATCGATAACCATTCCTTGAGTGATGGTGGACTTTTCTCTAACTCTTTTCCTCCAAATGAGTAGCAACCTCAGAGCTTATTTAGTGAGCGAGGGTAAGTGTTTTAGTTGGAGAGTGCCCTATAGCAAACAATCCAAACTCCATCCCCTCGACCACCATTTTGGACCATGGATTGCATTTCCTCAACTTGGCGCTTTCCACTACTGGTACCAAAGAGATTAACCCATAGAAATTCCTACCTTTTTACCAAACACTAGAATCAGATCGTAAGGGAAAGATCGATCTTCTCTCAATTTTGGATCTCAGCTGTAACTCTGACAGTGCCAACATAGATAGCTCACGCACCCCTATCTCTTCGTTGAAAATTTATTGTGCATCTAGCAGGCCTCACTTGAACATCTTGGAGGCAATAGGGGAGATGAAGTAGATGGATTTGTTCATTCAGAGTATACAACCCAATGTCACTCCAAGAGATGGATTACGAGCTTCTAATGATTCCATACTGCTTCCCATTTGCATAGATGGTGATCAACAAGCTATTGGACTCGACACCAATCTTGTGCTAGATGGAAGCTCTTAGTGCTTTAGGTTTTGCCTTCCTTAATTCCTGGAATATAAAGATCATCTCTTGGAATTGTTATGGAGCGGCTAACCAGAATTTTCTTAATCACGTGTTAGATATGAAAAGGATCCATTCCCTGTTATTATGTTAATTATGGAAACCAAACTAGCTAGGGATAAAGCACAGACTATTGCTTCCAAAATTTTCCAAAATTTTCATATTGTGTACTTGGATGGCTTTGCTAGAGGAATATGGCTCATATGGGATGTTAACAAAGTTAATCTTGATGTTGTCTTCTCTAGCAGCTAAGCAATCCACGATGTGGTTAAGGTATGCTATCACCTTATTATTCTTGATTCTGAATGTTTTTTTTTTTTTTTTGGTGTTTATGGCAAGCCATAGTTTGAAATTAGATCACTCATTTGGCATGAACTATCTAACATGGTGGTCCACATAACCCTCCCTTGGATTATTGTTAGAGATTTTAATGATTTCATCAACCAGGGGGGAAAATTTGGGGGTAACCCTATTAATTAGTGGAGAGTTGATGCTTACATCTTCTGTATAAATGATTGTGGTATGATTGATATGGGTTATGTGGGAAGGAGATATACTTGAGTTAACATGTGGGGTGGCCGTATTATTAAGGAAGAGCTCAATACATTTTGGTGCAATTCCAATTGTAGAGTTCTTTTCCTTGAAGTCGTTGTATATCACCTTCCTAGACTCATCTCTAATCATCTTCATCCTTTTAAACTTTGCTCCTCAAATCCCATTGTTGAGGGTGTGCTAGTGATGTAGAATGATGAGTTAGCAATGACGATGAGGTGGAGGCTAACTAGGATGACATTAGACAGAATGAGCAAGGTCCTTTTGGTGGCACTCGTTTTACATGCGAGAAGCTACATGCCACGAGCCGTCTTGATTTGCCCAACAATGTTGATTAGTAGTGGATTCTCTAGCCAAGTCCGAAAGTATGAATTTTCTAGCCAAACCGTAAAAAAGAGAGAAACAGAGAGAGAGAGAGAGCACTAAGCAAGGGTGATGGAATGTCAAGGGCCAAGAGTGATTACACAATTATCAAAGGTAGACAACGAAGGGATACATTATGGTGGGAGCATTAGAGATACAAAATATTTGAAGTTTAAAAATTAGAACTTGAGAAGCATATTCATGTGCATAGAATCATGACATAATAACAATGACAATAAATGTGACATCTGTGATCCCTAATAAATATCCTCACTCTATATCAAACAACCCTCATGATGTAATTATAAAATACAACAGTCCTTTATTTGAAGCTTTCTCAAGAGCTAAACTTGACAATAGTGATGGGAAAACAAGAGGTGATTGTTTAGGGCTTGCAAATGGGTGACTTGATCCCATTCCTAATGCTAACCATCTAACTCGATCTTCTAATGTTGAAGAAAAATGGTTGAAAGATTGAAACTGCACTATGTTGTCTTCCAGCCATACTATTCCACAAATCTGGGAATTATCCTGCAGTGCTAGGAATGCAGAATATGGGAAGGTGAATGACGATTTCTGGGTTGTGGGGTGTGTGTGTGTGGCAAAAGATTGGAGGTGAAGAAGCTACTGCGTGAAAGATGAAAGTCTACATGTGAGAAGGAAAACTAGGGTTCTGAACAATTTTATATGTTCTTCACTTAGAAATATATATATATATA